TTAAGGGCCCATACTAGGGGCCCCTGGGTTCTACCTTAGAATGAAAGGCAGTGCGGATGCCAAGGATGCTGCTGTCTAGGTTCCCCAGTATTGCCCTGCACTTTTTCCTGTTTGGGCCCCCTTATTTAAACAGACCAGTACGTAGGAAAAGGGTACCCTTACTGTTCAGGGGCTACTGAAGAGCCTGGATGATGATGAGGAGGAGGGCGATGACACAGTCGTTGCACCTATCGGGACTCACAGCGGGAATGGCAATTGGAACGGCAATGATGCCAAGAAAGTGCGATGACCCTGGTAGTCATGACCGTAATGACAAGAAGATGGAACAATTGACCCATGTACCCTAAACCCAAACTCATATAGCCTAAACCCACATACCCCACACCCTGGATTCCCAGACCCTAAACCCTAAAACCTTAAGCCCTAAAGCCCTGAACCCTTGAAGCCCTAAACCCCTAAGCCCTGAACCCCTAAACCCCTAAACCCCTATAACTGCCTATAACCCTAAACCCTAAACCCCTAAACCAAACCCTAAACCCTAAACCCTAAGCCCCAAAACCCTCCCCAGATCGCCTGACAGGCGCTCCGGTCCAAGTTGGAAGAGACCCAGCAAAGCCTGGAGGAGCCTGACAGGTGATAGGGTTGAGGGTGTAGGATTTGTAGGATTTAGGGTGATAGGGTTGAGGGTGTAGGATTTGTAGGATTTAGGGTGATAGGGTTGAGGGTGTAGGGTTTGTAGGATTTAGGGTGATAGGGTTGAGGGTGTAGGATTTGTAGGATTTAGGGTGATAGGGTTGAGGGTGTAGGATTTGTAGGATTTAGGGTGATTGGGTTGAGGGTGTAAGATTTGTAGGACTTAGGGTGATAGGGTTGAGGGTGTAGGATTTGTAGGATTTAGGGTTTAGGGTTGAGGCTGCAGGATTTAGGATTTAGGGTTTGGGGTTTAGGGTTGAGGGGGTAGGATTTAGGGTTTCGGGTTTAGGGTTGAGGGTGTAGGATTTAGGGTTTAGGGTTGAAGGTGTAGGATTTAGGGTATAGGGTTTAGGGTTTAGAGTTGAGGGTGTAGGATTTAGGGTTTAGGGTTTAGGGTTTAGGGTTGAGGGGGTAGGATTTAGGGTTTAGGGTTCAGGGTTTAGGGTTGAGGGTGTAGGATTTAGGGTTTAGGGTTTAGGATTCAGGGTTTAGGGTGGAGGGTGTAGGATTTAGGGTTTAGGGTTTGGGGTTGAGGGTGTAGGATTTAGGGTTTCGGGTAAGAAGTGCGATTTGTTGCCGTTGTTTTGGCCTCGAAGCGGTGCCCCAAGGCTAAGAAGTAATTTGTTGCCGTTGTTTTGGCCGTGGTGCCCCAGTGCTAAGAAGTACGATTTGTTGCCGTTGATTTGGCCTCGAACCGGTGCCCCAGTGCTAAGAAGTACGATTTGTTGCCACACTCCAAAACCCATATCCTGAAATCCCAAATCCCAAACCGCAAACCGTTAACTTCTTTCAACATAACATGCTTTTGTGTTCCAGAGTTTAGTTGTTTAGCGTTTTGGGTTATCTGTTGAATGCGCCTACAGGAGCAAGAGCAGACTCTTGAGTCCAAGAAGAAGGCCGTGGCTACTGCCAAGGAGGGTCGGCTCCGGAATTGCGTCGCAGTGTTTATCTTCTCGAGTTTAGGGTTTAGGGTTCAAGGTTCAGGGATTTTCCTTTTCTGGTGTAGCATTTGGAAGATTTAAATGCTGGTTGGTTCAACTATTGTCTTTGGGGGTGGTGTGGTCGAGACTTGGGGTTGGTTGCTGGACTTGCAGTTTTGTCTTTCCATCCGTTTTTGTAGGGCTCATGCAGTCATTACGGGTTCTACAGTGTGGGGCTTTGGTATTGCCGACACCTCGGAGCTTGCAGAAGGGGTTCTGGTGCAGGCGATTGTAGTGCTGACCCTCGTTGTCCTTTAGGGCTGAATAGCTTCAACATGCTTTTGTGGTTTTTCACAATAACTATATTGTTTATAAAAGAATGGGCTGACTGACTCTGCAGACCCTTTAAGCTCTTAGTTGTTAGTCTCTCCAACTGCCAAAATCGAAAAGGGTGTGAACTTGGAAAGGCATCATAATGCCTAAAACCTAAGCCCTAAACCCTAAACCGTGGAACCCTAAACACAAAGCCCTGACTCACCCCCATACCCTCTACGGAGCAAGCAACTCACATCAGGCCGTGAACGCCCCTGCTGCCGAGCAGTCAAAAAAATGATGAAACCCTAAAAGCCAAAGCCGTGCAACCCCAAAGCCGGTAAAACGCTACAGAGCCATTCCAAAAACAGAGAAGCTTGTATATAATTAGCATCCAAAACCTCAGCCCTCCTCCCTAAACCGCCAAACCCGAACACCAAACTCAAACTAAACCGGAAAATGAGACACCTTAGAATGTAATGTGTTTACATGGAGCTCCAGTAAGTCCCGGAAGAGGAGACTCTGTCAGAACCTTAAATAAAGGAACCCCTGAAAGGAACTCCCAGAGGAACCAACCTAAGCCCTAAGCCCTAAAAGAAACCCTGAACTCTTACCTCGACCCTATCTCCCATTTCCGAAACCCTAAGGCCCAAAGGGAATCTTAAACTCCCATATGGGTAGTTCTCAACTTAGGTCCCTTTGTATAAGGGTGCCGTATTATCTTGGGGACCTAAAAAGGGACCATAATTTAGATAACTACCCGTATAAGCCCCAAAGTCTAGGACATTTTCTGGTGGGTAGTTACCGTTATAGGAGCCCTATAGACGGTCTATATACCTTATAGAAGCCTTATAGAAGCCCTATATATCCTAAACTCCCCACCTGTAGCTTCCTTTAATTTAGGGTTTAGAGCTTAGAGTTTCGGGTTTTAGTAAAGGTTTAGGGTTTAGGAAGTGCACGGAGAGGGAATACCCAAAATATCACTATTACTTCTGTCCTCATCGACGAACTAAGTGGCATGGACTTTCTCAAGTAAGAACCCTAAACCCTAAACCCTAAAGCTTTTATAGAAGGAGACCTAGAAGCAACCTTTAGCCTAATGTAGGGGCCTGAATCAATACCTATATTACTCTGGGGTTCCGTATTATAAATATAGTATAGTGGGCCCCCCAAACCCTATTCTAACTATTAAGGTTCCTATTTTGCTCTGGGGGTTCCTTATTATAATCATAGTATAAATAATGGGCCCCTATATGAACCCACAAAGAGCAGGAGACCATCAAGGAGACCAACCGACAGATCGAGGAGGCGACAGACGCCGTAGAGACGGGAAGGAGGCACACCCATGTGGGGTTTAGGGCTCTTGTTGTTTAGGGCATAGGTATAAGTTTTAAGTTCAGGGTGTTGGGTTCTTTTTCGGGTTTCTGGCTCTTTTTTCAGTTTAGGGGTTTGGGTGTTTTTTGAGTTTAGGTCTTGTTGTGTTTTCAGTATGTGGTTTAGGGTTTGGGGTTAAGGGCTCTCTTTAAGTTTAGGTTCTAGAACTCGTTGTAAATTTGTGGGTTCGGGGTCCTACCCTAAACCCTAAACCCTAGGTCGAGGGTTTGAGGTTCAGGGTTTGGTTCAGGTCTCAGAAGCTTTTGGTTTAGGCTTTACGGTTTGGTCTTTTGCTGGGATGTTGGGTTCGGGGTTTAGGGTTTACGAGTTTAAGGGTTTAGGGCTTACAAGATTTATGGGTTTAAGGGTTTTAGGGTTTAGGGGGTTTGGGCTTAGGGGTTTAAGGGCTTAAGGGTTTAAGGGCTTAGGGCTTTAAGGGTTTAAGGCGTACATTGAACTACCATAACCTACTTTTTGTAGGTCCTTATTATAAACCTGAATATAGAATTTATAGGGACCTTACAAAAATAGTAGGTTTTGGTAGTTTAAGGTAGGGGTTTTGGGTCTTGGGTTAAAGTCACCCAAAACGTTTGCCGTATATGGCTCCCCAGTCTGATTTCATACCTTACGGTTCAGGGCTTAGGGTTTAGGATTTAGGGTTTAGGGTTTAGCATTTAGGGTTTAGGGTATAGGGCTTAGGATTTAGGATTTAGGGTTTAGGATTTAGGCTTTAGGGCTTAGGGTTTAGGATTTAGCGCTTAGAACTTCTAGTAGGGCTCGAGCCCGGGGAGAGTTCATGTATTTTTACAAGGTCGTGCAGCGGTAGTTTGATTTTGGTTGTGAGTTCAGCTACTTAGTTCCCCAACACCCAACCTTTAAACTTTTTGGGTTCTTAGAATTTAGTAGTAGTCTGAAAGTTTAACTTTATATTTCCCTGGTTTTTTCGGGAAAGAAGGCTAGGTGCATTTCGCTTCAACCCTTCTATCTACTTTCAAGTAGATCTCATCTTGCGTGTGGGTGTTAGTGACCCTAAACCCTAAACCCCAAACCCTAAACCCTAAACCTTAAACCCTAAACCCTAAACCTTAAACCCTAAACCCTAAACCTTAAACCCTAAACCCTAAATTTTTAAAGACGTCATAGGAGTGTATATAGCAACTGCGATCTTTCCTTCAAAGGTTTTTCGGGCTTCAGGGCTCCGAAAAAATGTTTAGGGTTTCGGGTTTTGGGTTTCGGGTTCAGGATTCAGGGTTTAGGGACTCCTATGACGTCTTTAAACTTGAGGGTTTAGGGTAAAGGTTAGGGTTTAGGGAACACTGGGCCGGTTGATGCTCGTGATGTTTGCCGCAACGCGGGCCATATCAACGCATGCTGCAACTTCGGCGAACGAGCCGCTGTTTGGGAGCGACGTGGTTGTTCATGGCACACTTCAGGGTGTAAAGTTTAGGGTTCAAGTTTAGGGTTTAGGGATATTGAGCCCAGCCCTGCACCCGAAGCCCTAACCGTGACCCCAAACTAGCTAGATTTTTGAACCCCCTCCAATCCCAGAGCAGTACATATAGTCCTAAACCCTAAACGCCCCTAAAGTCATCTCACTTTCAAAACTATATTGGTTCTTGCAACTCGGAATCTCACTCTTCAAGTCAAGGCGCATTTTGCCCGAGGCCACAGGCCAGTGGATCGCAAACACATCCCTTTGGTTGAGGGTTCAGGGTTTAGTTAGCAGTCTACGATAGTACTACGGTATAGTTCGTACATGCAGTACATCTTCCCCTCATCTTAACTCCTAGCTACCTACCCTAAACCCTAAGCCCTGCCCTAAACAAACCCTAAACCCCTAAACCCCTAAACCACTCAACCCTAAACCCCTAACCCCTAAACCCGAAAAGTCGTGGCACATCCATGGGCCAGGTCCCTGGCGGCGGCCAAGAAGAAAATCAAGGGCCGCCTGGCTGCTATCGGCAGTGCTCGGTTACGGGTTCCGGGTCTACGGTTCAGGGTTTCGGGTTTACTTGGAGGATCATGAATCATGGACTTAGTAGGTAAGGGTTTAGGGTTTAGGCTTTAGGGTTTAGGGTTTGGGGGTTAGGGTTACGGGTCTGATCTTGGCAAACTTCATCTACGACGTTTGGATTCTCGAAACCCAACCCTTAACCGTAAAACCCTAAAGCCCTGCACTCTAAAACCCGAATCCCTAAACTATAAAGCCCTAAGCCCCAAAACCCTAAAACCCTAAGCCCTAAACTCTAAAACCCCAAACCCCAAAACCGTAAACCCTAAAGCCGTAAACCACTAAACCCTAAGACCCTAAAGCCCTAAACCCTAAAACCCTAAACCCTAAAACCGTAAAGCCCTAAACCCTGAAACTTTAAACTCTAAAACCTTAGCGCTGACGATATCGCTGCCGAATGAATAATGTGCCGTCGATAGTCCCTCCACGTGCCGTTTGCTTCTTTGTTTTGGGGTTTAGGGTTTAGGGTTGCTTCCTTGTTTTTGGGGTGGTTTAGGGTTGCTTCCTTGGTTCTGGATTTAGGGTTTAGGGTTTAGGGTTGCTTCTTTGTTTCAAGTCTCATTGCACTGCTTCTTCCACATACTCGCAGAGCCGGTCTCGTATCAGTTGATGGCTTCATGCGGGTCTCAATGATACGCGAGCTGATGGCCCGGGTCCAACAGGTCAGGCAGGTCTACCACCTCCTGGATTGGAGGCTTGGCCAGCGTTTTGCGTCGGACTTGTTCGACCACTTGGCGCGCCCACTGGCGGCCCCGACTGGCCGCAGCCTACGAAGAAGTCTGGGCCTTAAGTCGATCATGACAGTTGCGGTGTCCCGTTGGCCACTGAGCTCAGGCAACGCACAGATGAAGCACGAAGTATGCATCAATGGGCACCTACTGTGTGCGAGCGGTTGCTGACGCTCAGTGAGCTCGTACTGTTCGAGCGAGAGTCCTACCAAGATCGGGCTAAAGCGACGCTCTTGTGCTCCGTGAGCGAGGCTGACGTCCTTTGGATGGACTCACTTCAAGAGGTGCACGCCCACTGATTATACGTATCGTATAATGGGGCCCCCAAACCCTATTCTAGTTATTAAGGCCCCTGTAGTATGTCCCAAGGGTTGCAAAGATGACCCTGCAGGCGATAGAAAAAATGAATTAGATTCTGTGCGTAGTGCACAGGTACTCACGTTGTGCTAGATGAGGTGTCGTGCCCCCCTTGCCGTCTTTGTATTTGTTCTTGTTTTGAAGGTGATGACGAGGACGAAGAAGAGGACAGTGATGAGGACAGTGGTGTTGATGATCGTGTCGCTGATGGTGATGAAGACCTAGAAGACGATGGTGATTGTCATGATGGTGAAAGTGACGCCAGCGGCGACGAAGACTTCCCGACAACTACCGCGATGGCAGCTGATGCTATTCCACCTAGATGCTGAAGCTAAACCCTAAAGCCTACACCCTAAACCATCAAGAACCTTCTGCTCTTGTACCCTCGTCCTGAGCAAAAGTCGCTTAGCGTGCTCCTTTAAGGGTTCCTTTATGGTGCCTAAGAGGATCTTATTTACGAACTTGTTTTCAATTCCAATAGCTTTAAAGAGCCAACCTAGGCATTGTCAAGAACGTTGGAGTCGAATCTGAGGACTGCCCTCTGTGCTGAAGAAAGTTCAGCGCAACTACGACCGCGTGCAAGGCGGCTCGGGTGGTTTGGGGGTTATGTGGGGCTTTAGGTGTTTAGGCATTTTGTTTCTCTGGGCTTGCTGTCTTGCCGTCTTATTAGCTGTTTTGAGTTCCTATTTAGTATTTCACATTGTCGTTTGAAAGCTTACCTAGTCTGTTTCAACATGTCTGCACAACCTATGTGGAGCTTTCACGGCTCGTAGGAATGAACCCTAAACCGCACACTTTAAACTCTAAAGTCGTGCGGCCTACACCGTGTTCTAGGCTGTTCCAAGTTCTAGGTGTCTGAAGACCCGAAACCCAAACCCCTAAACCCCTAAACCCCCAAAACCCCTAAACCCCTGAACCCCTAAACCCTAAACCCTAAACCCCTAGACTCCTAAACCCCTAAACCCCTAAACCCTAAACCCTGAACCCCTAGACCCCTAAACCCCTAGACCCCTAAACTCCAAATCGTGCAGAGGAGTTCCGAGCTGAAGATTCGGTGTTGATTGCGGCGTACAGTTTCGGGGCTTCGGTCAGCCAAAGACCCAGCGCCCACTACAGTTAAGGAACCCACCTCAAATCTCCCTAAACCCTAAACCCTAAACCAAAGGGTTTAGGGTTTAGGGCTTCATCTTTCTAGCTAAGCTCTGTTCCTCAATTTTCGGGTCTTGGGCTCCCTGGAAAGTTCAGGGAGAGAGCATCCTGAACTCCGTAGTAGAGCAGGTCTTTTACCTTTTTGGGGTACTACAAGTCCGATTATATCTTCCCAAAGTTTAACCCTAAGTTTGTCTGGTTTGTTGGACAACCAGGACTCTAAACCCTACGACTACAACCTAAACCCAAGCCCTGAACCCTAAGCTAGCAGAGTTCGAGGGTTTGTTAGCGTTTCAAGGGCCCTACGGCCTAACTCCCCTAGGCCCTAAACCCAATACCCAAGCTTAAATCCCCATGTACCATGCACCTGGTTCCAAAGCGGAACGTCGGTTCCTTTCCCTGAGCCCTAAACCCTAAACCCTAAACCGGGTTTAGGGTTCAGGGGTTCCTTTAAGGGCTTAGGGTTTAGGGTTCCTCTAAGGGTTAGGGTTTGGGGTTTGGGGTTCCTTTAAGGGTTCCTGTAAGGGTTAGGGTTTTGGGTTTAGGGTGTCTTTAAGGGTTTCTTAAAGGCTTCTGTAAAAGCTTCAGCGGGGAGAATCCGGGGTTCGGACTTGGGGGTTTGAAGGTTTAGGGCTCAGAGGCTTAGGGGCTTAGGGGCTTAGGGGTTTAGGGTTTAGGGGTTTAGGGGCTTAGGGGCTTAGGGGTTTAGGGTTGAGGATTTAGGGTTGAGGGGTTAGGGTGTAGGGTTTAGGGCTTATAGGATTCAGTTAGACTCTAGACGACCCAAGGATGCTAAGGCTGGCTTTGTGCGCGTGGGTTCGAGGTTTGCTGCCGGGAATCCGTTTGTTCCGGAGTGCCTAGGGGCTCAGGGGACTTAGCAAGTAGTCCCCTATGTGGGGAAATAAAACCTGACCTCTAAACTTAAGGACCTAATTCCGCCCAAAGCTTCAGACCCTGAATCCTAGGTAAGCCCTCTCAAACTAAACCCCGGGTAGTAAAAACGAATGAACCTATAGAACTCGACTTCCGAAACTGGACAGCCAGGTCGCTACGACAAGTTCCGCGGTGGCCCGCTCTCGGCGTACTTGAAGTCACTTGAAACGGGAGTTTGAGAATACAGCCGAAAAAGCCGAAATCCACAGCCCAAAGCATATGTTGTATACCCTCTAAAGTTTAGGTAGGATCCACCTTGGCATGCCACAACCCACTTGGTTGTAGGGCGCCTTCAAATTCTGGCCTTCGTTAAAGGCCTTACAGAAGAGTAGGCCGCAGCAGGTTCAGGTGGAGTTTAGAGCCCTACACCCTAAATCCTAAACCAATTAAGCCGAGGCATCAACCGGTCCGGGAAGTCCCTGACGACGATGAAGATGACATGCAGGTGATGAAGTTGCTTTGTTCATGGGTGTGAGTGGTTTTGTGTGAGGGTTCAGGGTCCTTGGAACGATCATGTTTCTTTTTCTTTGTTTGGAGAGACGGGGGGAAGTGTGAAGGTTTAGAACGGTTGAATTTGTTCATTCGTGTGAGGTGTAATTGAAGATATCAATTTCATTTTATTCTAAGGGCCGTAAACGACATCAGGATTGTCAAACAAGTTTCCGCTTGTTGAATTTTCTAAGCCCAGAACCTAAACTCTAGCACACCTTGAGTTTCGGGTTTCAGGGTTTCTAGGCATGAGGTTTAGCGTTCAGGGTTGACCATGCTGTGAAGGTCGATGCCACCCTGGACGACGAAGAGTGAGAGCCGTCAGATCTAATCCAGATTCTGCTAGTGTTGGCCCAGCGCTGGAGTTTCATTCGTAGGCTTTCATGTACAGCGTCTTCGACAAAGGAATACTTCGCAAGCGCATCACTGTGTAGAGGCGGCGTGGGAAGCTACGCCATGTGATGCTAGAGTGCTGCAAGAGGCCTAGGGAGCAGGGCTGTCGCACGGCTCGACAGCTTTTGTACCTCTCTACTGTTATCTGTGAAAAATGGTCAAATCGCTTTTTGGTGCGGGTTTTAAACTCGATACCACAGAAAAACCCACACCCCAAGATACCCCAAGTGTGCAAGGGGCAGAAACAATTTAGCAATAATCTTCCCTTACAGACCCTACTTAGATGATGATTTACAATAATTCATCCCAGAAGCCCTCGTCTTGCTATTAAGGCCCTTGTGCGAACCCTTTGGCCTTACAGGAACCCCGTTCTAATTATGATGGCCCCCATACAGGGTTCTTGCTACGGAACTGCATTCAAACTTATCACAATAAGGAAGCCATATTATTTAGTATATTTAGGTCCCTGCCATTTCATCTCAAATTAAATTATTAAACCCCGAACCCGAAACCCGTTTAGGGTAGCTTGAGTTAAGTTCCTCGTATAGAATCCAATAAACTCCATAACTTCTACACACCTGAACCCAACGGTTTAGGGCTTAGGGTTACGCCCCCTGTACCACCACCCGAAAGACCTAAACCCCCACAGCCCTGAACTCCCTACGCCCTCGAGCCCAAGGCCACCAAAAAACGAACCCTACACACCTCAAGCCGCACGCCCCTGAACCCTAAACGCCTCAAACTGCGTAACCCTAAACCCTAAACTAAGCCCTAAACCGTAAGCCCTATACTAAACCTTAAACCCTGAACCCTATACTAAACCCCCACATCCCCGAAAGCCCCAAAACCCCAAAGTCTGGCAAGCCTCCCCCCCCGACATGAAACCTCAAAAGCTAAAGCATCACAAGGTTGGTTTAGGGGTTTAGGGTTTAGTGGTTTAGGGGTTTAGGGTTTAGGGTTTAGGGAGGATTTAGGGTTTAGTGGCGGAGCCGCAAACCCCAAAACCTAAAACGTAAGGCCTAATCACCGACAACACCTGACCTCCCGAGGCCCTCTATGTGTTACAGACTCTGCAGTGGAGGGCAAAAGGCATTTTAAGAAAGAAGACCCTTCTTACCAAAGTTAGAGCCTAAACCCTATAAAGCCTAAGCCCTAAATCTTTATTTGCAAAATTACACCCTAAGCCTTTCTTCAACAGAAATGAAATCCTAAACCTTAAACCTGGAGAGCTGAGCCCGATACCCAGACCTCCCGCAGGCGGAATCACCAGCTGTAGCCAACTCAGCACTGTGAGTTCAGGGTTTAGTGTTTAGGGTTCTGGGTTTGCGTTTGTGTTTGTCTAAGGCTTTTGCGGGATTTGAGGGCTTTATGGGAAAGGGCATTCGGCGGTTGGATTTGTCGGGTTTGCCGATTCAGAGCTTTGGGACGTTAGGGCGAACTGCATTACGTCGGCGTAGAAGACATGCAATGGGGTCTGGTGCCCGTAATCTTGGACTTTTTGCTGACTAGGCTCTGGAGCACGAGACTTAACCAATTGTTTTGTTTGACTGGTTCCTCAACGGAACCATGGTGAAATCAGACATGATGCTTTGTTCTCCCCGTTACTTCAAAGCCCAGTCTAACAAACCCTATAGAACCCAACAGAATGTCTGAACCCTGACAGCCTAAAGTCCTAAACGCAAATAGAATTCTAACAGAACCCTGACGGAATCCACCTCCATTGCACCATCAAAGTCATCACCAAGCCTTAAACCTTCAACCCCAACCCTACCTCAAACCCCTTAAACCCTAAACCCTAAAGCCTTTCCCCCAACCCTGGAGCTCAAAGCCCATAAACCTCAAACCCCGTAAAGCCTAATTCCTAAATCCCCTAAACCCTAAACCCACCTGGAGCCCTTTAACTCTAAAAGCCATCAAAGCCCTCCCTAAACCCAAGACAACTCAAAGCCTAAACACCCTTAAAGGAAACAAGCCCCGGCCTTTCTCCGGAGACGTTCCTCGCAGGGCCCGCTGAGCTCACGAAGAGAGGGTTCCAAAGGCTGTCAGGCTTCGGCATGTTCATGGTTTAGGGTTTATAGGGGTTTAGGGTTTATAGGGTTTGGGGGTTTAGGGTTAAAAGCGTTTAGGGACGAATCAGTCTTGTAACATGTGCATGCTAGCTGCTAGCCGTTCTCACACGGAATTCAGCTTACTGTACACGGCTACATTACACCCAGAGGGACATCCAAAGAGAGTCTTCTTGATAAGCTGTCCGGACGACCGTGCCAAGCCAGTGATGGAAGCATCGGCTGCTGTGATCAAGAAGGATGAAGGAAATGCTGCGCTGCGTGCTGGCAACCTGAATGAGGCGCTGAGATTATACAGCTGCACGCCTCATAGGGATTTGGATGTTTGAGTATGGTACCGGGGCAGGACCATAAGCCCATAGCAAGAAACTCCAGGATTGTTCTAGTTAGAGGTCACATTTTCCGATTACGCATCAAACAGAAAGAGTTCCATATTTCGACAAAAGCACGTCAGGCCGACAAAAGTTGGCCTGTGTAGATGAAGTTAATGTGGTTACAACATTCCCTAAGCCCTAAAACACAAACCATGTTCTGTGGCTCCATGAAGAACAAGACCAAGGTGAGGGTCTTGATCTGGAACCTGACAACACCACATTGTTGTGCAATCGCACCCTGGCCTGGCTGCAGGCACGGCAAGCCTACTAGTATGATGGTTACTGTTTGGATAGTGCACCCACTCAGTAACAGTTGAAGACTAAGCCCTTAATGGTATCCCAATTATAGACTGTTACTCGTTACTGTATGGGGTCGGTACCCAAATTGCTGTTGTTGTTACATTTGCAACATTATTTCTTGTTTATGTGTTTTCTCCTGCTGTTCCTTCTATAGGCGCGGCAACCCATCAATGCGGAGAGGGATGCGCGACAATGCCTGCGGTTGGATATCCAGAACCAAAAGGCTCACTATCGGCTGGCGCTTGCCCTGCTTGGATTGGGCAAGACCGAATCTGCCTCGCAATGTGCGTGTCAAGCGGTGCTCATGTTTCCGGAGAACGTGGACATCAGGAAGCTACAGGGTAAGCTTGCAGTTCTACGGTCTCTGGAAGCACGGTTTAACGAAATTCATGAGATCGTGATGTCAGAGCAGAGTGGCGGCAACTTCAACCGAGCCGGGCAGCTGCTGCAAGAAGTGTTGGCAACGATTCCAGATTTTTCGCATGTGCATCCTCCGCTTCAGGGGGAAGCCCTCGAAGCGATGGCTACAAATTTCAACTTCATGCAGCAGTTTGACATAGCTGAAGCGATGTATCTTCAAGCAATTGAAGTATTCAAATCAGCAGGGTCGGGCCAGCAATTCTCTTTGAGCAAGGCCATGGGGAATCTCGCTTCTGTATATCTTGAAGGGGGATCAAGGAAAAATGCGCAGACTTTGCTACAAGAAGTGGTCGAGTTGAGGAAGCAGATTTATGGCAGCTTGCACGTTGAGGTTGCCAAGGCACTTAGCAACTTGGGCGAGTACTATCGACAGATGGATGATTTCTCCAATGGCTCGCGTTGCCTGCAAGAAGCTCAAGCACTTCATGCAAAGTTATCTGGCAAAGCTGACAGCCTGTATTGCCAAACTACATATTGCCTTGCGCGTTTGAATGCGCGCTTCCAGCACTTCGATGAAGCTGAGGCAATGCTTCTGGAATGTATTTTGCATGTGAAGCAGTTGCCCCATTCGCAACACAAGGTGGCGGCAGATTGCTTGATTGTTCTGGCTGAGACGTATGTGAACTGTGGGACGTTGCCTGAAGCATGGCGCTGTTGTGCTGAAGCCATCAGTATCACAAGACGGCTGCTCCCAAAAGCTCACCCAGAGATTGCCAGAACACTTCATTGTGTTGGGCAGTTGTTCATCACCTGCAAGGATTACGTCAAAGCAGAGCCTCTCGTTCGTGAGTCACTCGAAATCAGAAAACAGGTCTTCGGGGAGATGTCTTACCCCGTGTCGAAGAGCTTAGTCAGTCTGGCAGGCATCCTGTATGAGATGGGTGGCCGCAGACGTTCGATCACGTTGCTGCAGCAGGCCGTCAAAATCCAAAGCGAGGTTTCCGGTGAAAGCCATCCAGAGGTGATCACTTCCCTCAACAACCTTGCGAACAGCTACTGTGGTAGCCCGGATACGCTCGAGCAAGGATTAGCACTCTATGCTCGGATCAACAAGCTGATGTCGGACTCTCCGCCTTGCGCTAAGATCATCGCTGAAGTGTATAGTCTCGAAGGCCAATCGTTCGCTCGTATCGGAATGTTGGACACAGCCCGGCAATGCTTTGAAGCAGCCCTCAAAGCACGGCGAAGCGAAGCGAATCCTGCCGGATTAGCTGAAGCCTTGCAAAATCTGGGTGTCCTGCTGTCGTCCCCGCCAGTTGCTCTGCCACACACAGAGAGTCTCTGTTTCGCCAACACCGAGGACAAGATGATTCATCTCAAACTTGAGCGAGGTGTGGTCAACCACTACGTTGACAATGTGTTCCAACAAACCGTGGAAGAGTTCGACATCGATGTTGTGCACGGCATCTACACAGGGCTGGGCGCAGAGGGCATCATCCGCGAGGACGAAGATGTGCAAGACCTTGCTGCCCAAAAGGAAAGTCTGCTCACCTCGGCGTATTTCTGTCAACATGACCGCGTGGAGTGCGATGGATGTAGAATGACCCCAATCATCGGGAAGCGGTATAAATGTCGAGCTTGCCCCGACTTTGACCTTTGCCAGCAGTGCTTTGACCACAAGGATAAAGTGCACACTGCATCGCACGATTTCCGCGTCATCGCCAACGTGCACGAAGGGGTCTTGAACATGGAGATTGCAGAGGTCTGCCTTGCTGAAGCATATTCACTGAACAGGTCACATTATGGCGACCAGCATCCGATTACCGCGAGTACCGTGGTAAGGCTGTCTGCAGTTCGTGGAATCTTGCGCAAACATCAAGATGCTTTTGAGTTACTGTCGCAGGCTACCGATGTGCGCGATAGAATGCTGGAGGCGGTGATTGAGAACAGCGCAGAATCAAGGAGATTTTCATTCTTTCAGCATATCCGCTTGGACATGGATGTGGCAATCTCACTCGCCTTGGCACTGGGATCATCCGCTTGTGAAGCTTTTGCTTTCCAGCTGGTTCTGCGGCGCAAAGGGCTTGTTTTTGAGTCCCAAATGTCAGAATGGTCTGCCGCATCTGCAGGTTCTCAGGACCTCTTTCAGGAGCTGACTGCCTTGAGATCGAGACTAGCTGCAGAGGTGCTTGGCCGTTTTGATCCCACAGCGGTGGGCTTCTTGAATGAGAAAATTGAAAGCCTCGAGTCTCGCTTGGACATCCGCTGCAGGTCCCAACTCACGTTGGAAACAACTCAAGCTGCTCTCCCACTTGGTTGTGTGTTGCTGGAGTTTGTCAAGTATGTCCATACGGTGACTCGGTGTGCCAACAGCTGTCAGTCTTAACTTGTGCGATTGTTGCATGATTGTGCAGACAGGAAACTGTTTCAGAGTTTTCGTGCTGGCTTATTAGAGAAGTGAGGAGATGTCCCAGAATGAGGGCGGCAGACGCTCTGAGCGATATGCGGTCTTTGTGTTGCAGCACGAAGGGCCCTCGAGTGTGGAGCTTCATGATATTGGAGCTGCGGGTGAGATTGAGGCCGACATCAATGCGTCTCTCGTTTGGCCAAAATTGTTATTTTGTTCTGTAGACTTTGTTTGCGTTCCGCCGTTTTTGAGTGCATAATGATAGTCTCTATGACTATGACTCTATGCTGTTTGGATAGTAAACTTAAGCCGATTTGGAGTTGTTTATAGAAATGAGGTTCAGACGGTCCTTCCGGAAATCGTGTGGTTTGCGGTTGGCGAAGCAGCTTTTGGGTCACGTGAGCCTGAAGCAGTGGCAGCATGTTTTCATAGGAATGGACGGCGAAGTTTCAAGATTGCCCATCAAGTGCCTGCCTGACCCAATGGAGCCAACACAGCGCCTCTTGGACTTGAAATTTACATACAGTTTCATCACGAGTGGCCGTGACTTGTCGCTGATGCAGAGAGCTGCGCAATTTGACCCGATGGAGTCTGTCATCATTTGCAATCCAGATTTCAACTTCAGGGAACAGGCGCCGGCAGTGACACAGGCTTCACGCGACTGGCGACACGGTCACGACTTCGGACCTTTGGATGCAACTGCGGCGGAAGGATTGTGCGTGCAAGATGTGTTGGCCAGTTCTGGCGCTATTAAGTTTGAAGGGCAACAGGCCACGGTGTCAGCGTTGAAGGCTGTGCGTTCACCACGCGTCCTGCACATTGCAACGCATGGTTTCTTCCTGCCAACACAGAAAGAGCCAAGCGACCGCCTGGAACACAGATTGGTCAATCTGGAAAACCCATTGTTGCGTTCAGGGCTGGCGCTGGCGGGCGCTCGAGCCTGGCAAGAGGCTGAAAGAGATTCCACCGAAGAGGAGACATCAGGGATTTTCACAGCGCAGGATGCCCGTGGCCTCGACCTGAGAGGAACACGCCTTGTGGTACTGTCTGCGTGTGAAACAGGCCTGGGTGACACACCCAGCGGTCAAGGCGTGCAAGGCTTGGCGTCGGCATGCTTGGCTGCAGGAGCCCGCTGCGTGATCATGAGTCTTTGGAAGGTTCCAGATACCGACACGCAAGTGCTTATGAAAGCATTTTATGGGGGTCTTCGCTGTGGGAAATCGATTGCATGCGCCCTTCAAGATGCGCAGAGAGAGCTTCGACAGCCTGCAAATTATTCCCGTTGGGGAGCCTTCGTGATCCTGGGCTGGCCCTTTGATTCACCATTTGCTGATCTGCAGAAAGCCGAAGATTAGTCTGATTTGCTGCTCAAATGGTTTAGGGACCAGCGTTCCGCTAAGGCTTCCTTTACGGCTTCCTTTTTAGGGGTTCCTTGCGCTGTTCTCGGGATTCCAGGTCTATAGGCTTTGCGGTTTCGAGTTTAGGGTTTAGCTCGCCGAGCTCGCGCGGAAGGCAGTCAGGAGTTGAGAGCTTCTGGGGCTTGTTTGGATCAGGGTTGTTTAAGACGCCAAAGGTTCGTTATTGGAATTCATTGGGTTTTGATGTGGATTAACTACTCGGGTTTATTGTGTGCTAATAGAGTTTATTACGGTGTACTAGGTTTTACTGCTAGGGTCTCTACGGGGGTTGTAATAAGTTTATCAGGGTTTATTAAAGTTTATGCGGCCGAATGCAGGTTTATTAGGTTTAGGGTTTTAGTGTTTTAGGGTTTAGGGTTTGAGGCCCGGGATTCAGAAGGGGTTTGGGGTTTGTGGGGGTGTTTGACGGTCGTTTGGTGTTCAACGCCGGTTCGGAATTTTTAAGGCTAAGTAATCAGGTCTGTACAGTTTACGGCCTTTGGGCAGAAAGGTGTTTGAAAGTCCCCTAACCCTAAAGCCGAACCGGTAAACCCTAAACCTTATCCTTAAACCCTAAACCGGTCTTTGCCTTTGTCGGCGGAGGCTTTCTCGGGCTTTTGGTATTTGGGAATCGGATTCCGGGCCCGATTTGGGATGGTCTAATTTACTTCAATCGTAATCAGATCGTTTTTGGCTAGAGCCCCTCTGATTCAACGCTGAACCCTAAACCCTAAACCGTGGCTCTGTTCTTATCTACTTCAAAGAAAAGTTTCCACAGTTTTGGCGCTTCGGCGGTCAGGGTGTCAGAGTTCAGGGTCGAACAGGGCTCTTCTCTTGGCAGGGACCGCGCAAAAAGGGCACCCCAGCACTTCCGTGACTTGGTCCCTAAAACCCTAATGCCCCAAACTCGTGATCCCAAAACTGTTCCCTCAAAAGATGTGAGCAGCCACTGTGAAAAGATCCGAGTATAGTCTAGTGTTTGTCTAGCAGTTTTGGGCTTGCTACGCCCTAGAACTGAGGCCAAAGCGTCAATCCTTCAGCCAGCGAAACCCTAAACCCACACGGCTTAAACCGTAAACGTTCAGCCAGGGATCCTGATCCGGGAACCTTAAACCCCCAATCCCAAACTTTAAGCCACATAGGCCCTCTATCGTCTAAACCCTGAATCCTAAGTCACCTACACCCTAACTCGCCTAAACCTTAAACCCTAAGTCGTAAGTCACCTATACCCTAAATCGCCTAAACTCTAAAACATCCCTAGACCCTAAAACATCCTAAAACCTTAGCCATCGAGGTCGAACAGAGGTCGGAGATACGGCACCTTGTTCCTCTTAGGTCCAGGACTCAGTCAGCGTTCAAAACAGTGTTCAAAGCTCCTGTTCGGTCTCCCTTTCTGAGGGTTGGAGGTTTAGGGTTTGGGGGCATTTGACGGGGGTTCGGGGAAGTGCGGTTTTTAAGGTGTACCTAGAGAGAAGGTTTGGCGTCTTCAGCGGAGGCTCTTTTGCTGTTTGGATCCCTGGTTAGCAGTCGGGTGCACTTAAAAGTTCAGGGGACTTATTAAGCAGGGTATAACTTATGCTATCCCCAAACCCTAAAGCCTTAAATCCCAAACCCTAAACCCTGAACCCTAAACCCTAAACCCTAAACCCCTTTAAGCAGGTCCTCAATGCAGGCACAGCTTTGGTCTCTGGGAACCGAGGCATGCCTTCGACGGCAGTAGCCGCGTCGCAGAGGTGCGGAGCTTCGAGTGTGACAAAGGGCTTCCCCAAATTTAGGGGTTTATGCTTTAGGGTTTAGGGTTTAGGGTTTAGCTCTCCGATACCCAACCTTGAAACTTTGGGTTCTATTAAATTGGAAAGTTTAACCTTTCATTTCCCTGGCTTATTGGGGAAGTAAGAGTACTAATAGGAATTCCTGCTCTAGAAGCCCTACTTTCTGGCATGTAGGTGCTTAGAACCCTGTGGGTTTATACATATGTAAGACTTAAACGGTTTGTATAGGGCTTTTGAGGCTTTGGGCTTATATCTGGGGTGTAGCCTGTCCCGGCCGGGAAAGGGAAAAGACTTAGGTTTAGGGTTTGACGAAGCAGCAAAAGCGTGGCAATCGTGATAAGCAGGGTTTACTGTGGGCACGGCACCCTAAACCTTACTTGGAGGGTCGGGTGATTTAGTAACTAGTTATTTAATAGACTTATAAGTATCATAACCCCAAATAGGATCCCTTCTAGGGTACTTAAAAGTCTACTTAATATCTCGTTGCTCAATCCCCCGACCCTCCAAGTAAGCCTTAAGCCGTCGCTCTGGTCTCAAGAACTTGACGAGACCAGTTACTCTAGCAGTTCTACCTTAAGGCCTTAACACAAAGTCCATTCCCTAGTCGAAGCCTCAGGGGTTTGGGAGTGCATGTGCATAATATGCGTTTAGTTTGAATTAATGGTTATGTAAGATGATCTCAGGCGTAGAGTATACAAGCCCACAGCTATTCGTATCAACCAGTTACCACGTTTTTTTTTGTGATTTGTTGAAGACCTTGTTTAAAACCCAAACTGCTACATCCTCAAACCCTCACTCTAGGTCAGCCCAAGAAAACCTCGCAAACGGTTACGTCCTCAAACCTCACTCTAGGCCCAAGAAACCCTCCCCCCCCTAAACCCTAAACCCTACACCCTTACCATACTCCTGAACTCAAGCACCCTACCTTAACCCCAAGCCTCCGCGAGCCTCGGAGCACCACCATTTAGGTTTTAGGGTTTAAGGTTTAGGGTTTAGGGTTTAGGGATGTGGGTTCAGGGTTCAGGGCTTAGGGTTTAGGGTTTAGGGTTCAGGGTTCAGGGTTTAGGGTTTAGGGTTTAGGGTAGAAGTCTACACATTCCTAGACTCAACAATACTACTCGCAACCCGCCCCCCCAAAGGGTCCTAAGCACCTACATGACCTACATGCTAGAAAAGTAGGGTTTCTATACTAGGTATTTCTATTACTGTTTGGGCTTCGGGTTTAGGGTTTAGGGCTTAGGGCTTAGGATTTATGTTTAGGGTTCAGGGTTTAGGGTTTAGGGCTTCCCAAATCATTCTGGTCATGCAAATAATATACCACAAGACCTCTCTTCTAGTTAGTAAAGCCCCCTTTTCGAAACCCCTACATATGATGCAGCACTGCGAAGGCAGTTTTAACACCTAAACCCTAAACCCTAAACCCTAAACCGTTTTAAGACTAAGTTGCGTTTTTGTTCAGTGCCTGTGCTGCGACAAGTTGCGTTTGAGCGTTGCGCAACAGTGCCGAGAGGAATTCCAGACTCATTTTGGGTTTTAGGGTTTGGGTTTAGGGTTTAGGGTTTAGGGTTTAGGGTTTAGGGTTTAGGGTTTAGGGTTTAGGGTTTAGGGTTTAGGTTTAGCGTCTAAGATTTGGGGTTCAGATTTTTCACACAAGCTTGTGAGCATTGATGGGATGTCTCTATGGGGATACTAGTAATAGCGGATCCGTGACATCTTGGAATGCAGGGTGCTGCTCCAGGTAATCTTTGGTGGTCTCCTGAGCCCCCAATGTGACAAGTCTGACAAGCTATTTCTTGCTCAGCTGGTGATGTTGATGCTTGTGTTGATGCTTCTTTCAGGAACCCCAAACCCGAAACCCTAAACCCTAGGCCCTAAACCCGAAGCTATTGTTATTGTTGCTGCTGCCGCGGTGCCCCCACCGCCGCAACCCCCTAGCCATCTTGTGCCCTGCCATTGTTGGTGTTGCAGTTGGGTTTAGGGTTTAGGGTTTAAGTTGCTGTTGTTGTTACGCTTTTAAAGCAGCTGCAACTTTACTGGGTCTACCTTCAGCCGAAACCGCAACATGCTAAACCCTCCCTGAACACTGCACCACTTGTTAAATCCAAACCCTAAGCCTAAACCCTTGTAACCACCCCTTCCCTACACGAAAAAACCCTAAGCCACTAAGTTACGAACCCCAAAAACCTAAACCCTAACCCCTGAACTCCCTAAACTCCCTAAACTCCCTAAACCCCTAATCCCCTAAACCCTAAACCCTAAACCCTAAACCCCTAAACCCAAAGCCCTGACGTAACCGCAGCGTTATGAAGCTCAAGGTCCCTGGGCTTTCCCGGATTTAGTTCCCCAGAGAGCCCAATACCCCTTAATTACGGAATACACCGTAAATCATAATAGGTAGCCCCTTAGGATTTAAGGTAAATTTAATTAAGGAATCTGCTTTCAATCATAACAAGTAGCGCCTTATGATTTAAGGTATATATAATTAAGGAATACACCTTAAATCATAATAGGTAGCCCCTTCTGATTTCAGGTATATTTGATTGAGGAAGACACCTGAAATCATAACAGGTATTCCCTTATGATTTAAGGTCTATGCCTTAATTCAGGCATATTGGGCTCTCTGGTTCGGCAGCCGTGTAGAAGGCAAGCCGATCGGACGTAAAATGCACAGTGCATCCGAGCCTTGGATTCGTTGGCCCTAAACCCTAAACCCTAAAGGGGTTTAGGGTTTAGGGTTCCTTAGAGGTTTCCCTTATATGGTATTACAGGGGATCTAGAAAAGGGTTTTAGGATTTAGGGTTGACGGTTTGTGGTTTGGGTTTGAGTTTAGGGTTGAGGGTTTAAGATTTTAAGATTTAACGGACTAGTAGAGATACTATATGGCATCTATAAGTCGTATGGGTACTGCTTTTGTCTACTATTAGGTAGTGGTCGATGATGACCAAATGTCTTCGTAGGTTGACGATGATGTACATTTCGTGTCTCTCTCACTTCTGCCCTAAACCCTAAACCCTAGACCCTAGACCCTAAACCCTAAACCCTAAATCCTAATCATTAACAACAATGGAAGCTCTGGATTCTAGATGTGAGCAGCTTCCGTCTTCAGTTCATTTGCTATCTGTGTTATGCTTTGGGGCGGGTTCCTAATCTCTACACGCCTCAACCCTACACCCTGAATCCTAAACC